GTTTGCATACATGACAAGTTGAATAATCGTAGTGTGATTGCAAGAAGACCAAAGAAGAGCATAGCAGCAATCGGTTCTCCGTCCAAAATGTAACAGATGCAGATTTGGCAGGAGAGATTTTGCATTTCAGAACATGGCCAAATGACAGAGGATACATGTTGCAAAAAAAGGGAGATCAGGGAGGAATTAGAACAGTTACTGAAACCGTATTCACCAGTTCGCAGTAGCTGACGCAGATCCCAGGGTTCGATCCCTAGCCCTTACCTTACCTGTGTACAGTATCTGTGTAGCCCCCGAGAGTTGAACCCGCGACCTGTGTGTTTCGTAACAGTTGGTAGGTCATCGTAGGTTCCGTAGGTCGTCGGGATTCGATCTGTAAACCTGTCCAGTAGGAGTCCAGCCAGGTCTAGAAGTCGTAGCTGTAGGCTTCTCGAAGAGTCAAGGTCGTAGCTGGTCCAGTCCTGAAGGGTCAAAGTCGTAGCTGCGACAGGACCGAAAGGCCAAGTCCACGGCCTTCTAGAAGGGCGCGGTGGTGGCCTTTCGAGGTTGCCCACGTCTAGGCAGAGGCAAGTGGGCAAGTGGTGGAAGTCCACCGTTGCAGAGTCAGAAGTCCCAGTCCAGTCAGTTCGGTCCAGTCAAGCAAGTACCGCCTGGGACTGTGTGCACCGTGCACCAGGGAAAAAGGGCAGACCGACGAGTCAAGAGGCCGCGCACAGCCATTCATTCATTCCTACGGAAGCCATGCGGAAGCGCTGTCTCAGCGGCTTGTGCAAGGAGGTCTGCAGCAGCCCAAAGTCGAAGTGGGCAAGAAGGGTTAGCATAGCGATAGGTTAGTGGCGGCCATAGCCGCCATAGCTATAGGTGAACGCAGAGCGTGTGTGTGTGTGTGTGTGTGTGTGTCAGTGTTCAGTGTGTCGCATGTGGGATATCCAGGGTGATCCGGTGTGTGTGAACAGTGAGTTGTTGGGCGCTGAGTCGCCATAGCCAGTGGAAGTGAACTGTTATCTGGATGCCATACCTCTGAGTTCAGTGTGGGCACATGTCGCCAGTTTGCTGCGATGCTGTTTACATACATGAAAAGTGTGAATGAAACGAGTCTGATTGCAGTTACCAATGAAAAAAAAAAAAAAAAGATAGTCGACTGGGCGCAACCACAACACCCAACCCGGATATAGCAAGAAAAGGCAGAAAAGTTAGAAAACATGATTGCCGGGGGAACAGGAACCGGACTGATGCTCCCCACAATGGGAAAGGAGCCAGGACCACAAAGTCCCGGTTCACACCCCAGGCCAGAGAGAGGAAGAGGGTTCAAGGTTTAGGGTTTTAGAGCCTAAGATCAGTATACTTTTTACTTTTTTAGGAACTAGTAACAGGTAAACCGCAGCAGCCTCACAGCTAAAGGCTTAGTGTTCAGGGATTGGACAGAGACAGGGCAAACAGGTCTTAGGGCAACGGAGACTCCAGAAGACTCGTAGGTGTTCCAGATCGCTCAAGCATAACACACCAACCAGACAGCACCACATCAGGGAGGAGCGGGTCCGGGCTCAGTTAGATCAGCAACAACTAGGCAGTTCAACTAGCACAGGCTAACTTGGACAGGGGCGAGGGGTGGTACATCCTTCCTCAAGGAAGCAATCAATGCCGTCCACTCGGGCCTCCCAGCATTAAAGGGGAGGAGCGTGCGTGAGTCTCCCATGTATTATTTATGACTTGCCGGGGGAATAGGAACCATCCTGTCGCTCCCCAGAATGGCAGGAGCCAGAACCAAGAGGTTCTGTGGTTAAAAAAAAAAAAAAAAAAAAAAAAAAGAAGAAGAAGAAGCAAGCATGAACTCTTCCGGAAACAACATGCAGGACCAAGCCCTCCTGGAACAAAAAGACAACAGCATGAGAATGCGAGGATGGTAACGGAAGATAAGGCACATACCCCCTCTTGATTGTCAGCACCGGGACTGACAAAGAGCCTAATAACTTCCCTCTGCAGGAGTTTAATTGAATGGGAGAACATGCACACACACAATTGCGACAAGCCAAACAATTACCAGGTCAGACAATACGAGCGACAGAAACCTCAATCAAAATATTTTCACTCGCCAGCAAGCAAGCCACCATTTGAACCAGGATCCACCCTTCTGTTCCTTTCTCATTGCAGAACCTCAAATCAATGAACATGCATGTTTTCCATCCAATATCGATGCAGCTTTACCTCCGTTGCAGACTATGAAGCACAGTTGAGATGGGGCATTCGAACAATGAAACAGTTCTACCTCTATAGCAAGCACCAGAAAGGATGCATTATATCCCTTTCTTGGCTATCTTTACTTTGGCTTTATGGGGCATTCGAACAATGAAACAGTTCTACCTCTATAGCAAGCAGCATGCACCAGAAAGGATGCATTATATCCCTTCTTGGCTATCTTTACTTTGGCTTCATTGGCCATTCAAACAATGAAACAGTTCTACCTCTATAGCAAGCAACATGCACCAGAAAAGATGCATTATATCCCTTTCTTCACCATCTTTACTTTGGCTTTATTACCCCTTCTATTTCTTCTTGGACCTCCCCTTGTCCTGTCTCTCTCATGTACAAGGCTGGCCGCGTTGAGTGTGGCTTAGCGCCAGCTGCCACATCCCCGTCTGCCTTAATGGCCCACTTGCGCGTTGCAAAAGAAGCCAGAGTAAAGCGGGGCGTATACGCCTGTTCATTGTCCCCCAGACCTTATGGGTGGAGTTCTATAGGAAGCGAGAGGCAACGGAG